CGGGAGGCAAGCAAGTCTTCGTATACACGTACAGTCAAGGACCACGAGTTACCAGAGCAATCCTATCACCAAGCGGATCAAGCTTAAAGGTGTCGTTTGATCAAGACATCTCTACTTTGATACAATCTTCAACGTCTTCATGCAACACTATTCTGGGCTTTATTCCAACCATAGCTTCATTCACCTGCTACCTCGCTGGCTCTAACAGCGTCTACGTTGAGTTCAGCAATGCCTCGTCCGCGCTCCCTGGAAGTCTTGTTCAGCTGCTGCAGACAGTCTCCCCGAGCTCGCCGGCAACGTCAAGCATGGTCGAGTTGTCAGCGACCCCGACAGGAGTGAAGTACCTCCCCTCTATCATCGGCTCCTCTGAAATCGATTTCTGCTCCTCGCTGCACCTGAGAGCCTCGCTGGAGAGTCGGAGAGTGAGCAGATACATCTGGTCCTGCTCGAACAACAAGTATTTGCACGACCTCCTCAGAATGTACCAGACTGACACCATCAATGTCAACCTTGACGCCATGGTGTTCAGAGGACTCCAAGATCAATACATCATCTCAGTTCAGGCTGTCGATGTGTTTGGCATCACAAGTGAGATTGGTCAGCACACTGTGAGGCACACTCTAGATTCTTCTCTGTTCGTGGTGATATCGGGCAAATCAGTGTACATGCGGGATGAAAACATCCTGCTGCACTCTTACTTGTCCCCGTCGTCTTGCTTGGGACAGTTCAGCTTGACGAATGTTTCCTGGAGATTCCTGTCATGGCCCACAACCTTTGACATGAGCTCTGCTAGTCTCTTGAACGAAAACAACCGAGTAGATCTGCAAATAGGGGCCAACACACTGCCTGACGGATCCTACCAAGTGGAAGTTGCAGTATCGCTATTAGATCGACCCTACGTCTCATCAAGGTCGACCTTCCGCTTCCAGGTCAGTGGGGGCGCCACGTCCCTGCATGTGCTGGGGGGTTCGCAGCTGGAGATGTCGACGGACCAATATCTGACGTTGAACGTCTCACAGTCTAACCACGCGCCCGTTGCTTTCTCTTGGGTCTGCTCACAGCACATCCAAGGGGCTTCGTTTCCCTGCCTTGACCAGTACACGGGAATGAAGCTTGTCCTCCCATCCGACACCAACCTGACCATTGCTTCTTACACCCTGGTAGCCTCGCCCTATCCTTACTCGTTCTCTGTTGAGTGGTATGAAGGAAACTACTACCAACGGTCAAACGAAGTCAGCGTGACCGTGAAGAGTGGCCCAACTTTACAGGTAGCGATAAAGGACCTCCTGCTGAACGGAGAAGTTTTGCAACGAGAAATGATCAAAGTCAACGCTGGCGATAGACTTTCATTTGAAGCCCTGTCATCACAATCAGCAGCCATCTCCTTTCAGTGGAGCATGAGCCCGTCGGTCAACGGGTTCTCTTTCAACAATCTTCCTCTCGGAAACAACTCGGCTCTCTTTGCGTTCGTTCCATCTGATGTTGCGCTGCTAACCCGAGCATCTGTGTACTCTATCTCTGTGAAGGCGTTCAGTGGTGGCTACAGTGGAGTCGCCGTGATGCAAGTCTACGTCAACGAGCCCCCCACTCCAGGAGTCTGCTCCTGCTGTATCAACTCAACCTGCCCTTGCCCATCGTCCATCAAATCCCTGCAGGACAAGCTTCTGGTGTCGTGCAGTGACTATACCGACGAAGACCTCCCGTTGCTGTACAACTTCGGCTTGAAAAACAAGGACGGGCAGATGTGGTTTGAACCAACTTTGATTCCATACAAGACCTACCTGCTCGCTACAGGTTCACAGACCATCCAGATAAGTGTTTCAGATAGCCTGGGAGCAACTTCGGCGATCCAGACTTTGACGTTCACAGGCGATTCATCGGGCAGCGATAGTCTGCTGAACTCTACCGCCCTTACCATCCGGGAGTATGCCTATCTTGGCAGGCTAGATTATGTCAGCCTGGTCTCTTGCTCTCTCTATCAGATGATCGGATATCAGAATCTTTTGACTTGGCAGAAACACAATTTGTTGGACTCTATGGTGGCTTCGCTTTACACTGCACTTGGAAACAGGATATTCAGCGCATCTGTTGTGGGCGAATATGTCTCTGTGACGAATCTCTTTTCAAAAGAAGCATGTATGATTTCCAATGGTTCGTTCTTCAAATTACTAGAATCAGCTCAATTTGCCAGTAATTCCTTCCAACCAAGTCTTGACGATAGTAAGACGCAAAGCATCTCAACGAACTTCATTTCGATCATAAGCAACCTCATGGATGTATTTCAACAAAGCTGTTCTTCATACTCTCTAACACCCTTGCACAAGTTTACATTCCTGCAAAGCTCCAGGATCACAGAATTCAATGTGATGAAGAGATCAGCTCAGTTTTATCTTCCGGGTGAGTTGCCTCTCACGGTCCATGTCCCCAACATCAATGCTACAACTGTGGTGCAACATGTCAATTTGATGACCGACGTGCGGCTGACAACCAGCCCGAGCTCTCCTGAGACCTTCCTCATTCCTTCTTCTGTGCAACAACTTGACATGTTCCTTCAAAACCCGGTGCTGGATGCCATACAGGTGGAGGAGAACATGTTGAGTGATTTGACCGTGTCATTGAGCGGGAAGATGTCTTCTCTCACGCTCGCTTACCATGACAGCTTCCAGCCTCTAGTGCTGCAGAACCTAATCGACCCGATCCTGATCAACCTTCCGTTCGACGTCAAGACTGTGCAGGCACTGATCTGCTCTACTACCTCGGCGTCAGGTCAGTCAGACTGTACCTGGTGGCCTCAGAGGCTGGGGTGTGCCTTTTATGACCCGACGAACAACAGCATGTCGTTCCGCGGGTGTTACTTGCGCAACATGAACGAGGTGGCCGCGACAGGTGTCGCTCAGTGTGCCTGCAACCATCTTACCTCCTTCTCTCTGCTCATCAACACGTACGTGGCTGTATGCGGCGACGGCGTCATACAGGGGTCGGAGGGCTGCGACCAAGGAAGTCGCACGGGAGGCGGCTGCTCCAACAGCACTTGCCAGGTCACTCAAGGATGGCTGTGCCTTGGGCAGCCGAGCGTCTGCTGCGGGCCTTGTCCTCCTGGTCAGCAACGCATCGGATGCTCCTCGACCTCAGTTGGCACCTGCCAGAACTGCTCGGCTGGGACGGCCAAGTCCGTCTACGGCGCCTTCGACACTCAATGCAGCCCCTGCCCTTACGGCACTTACTCTCTCAGCGGAGCTCAATACTGCAACAACTGGCTGGTCTGTCCTGCTGGGTATGAGCGGACAGGAAACTCGTCGACGTCTGCCGGCACGTGTGTGGCTTGCGCGTATGGGTACTACAACCCGATCCCAGACTCTTCGTGCGAACAAGTCCCTGCTTGCAACCAGACTGAGTTCCCGGGCTCATACAGGACCGCCTTCAACATCTCGTATGAGGGGGTATGCCTTCCCTGCTCTATCGGCACATATCAATACCTGGGGAATCGCATAAGCCCCTGCCTCACATGCCCTGCCTACAAGACAACCCCCTCGAGCGGATCGTTTGGTAAGAGCTCCTGCCAGTGTATAACGGGGCTGGTCGAGGACCCAGCCACAGCTGGCTGTGTTTGTGATCGGTACAAGAACTCGTCCGGAGATGTTGTTGCTGGGTTCTTCGGCACCGCAGGTTCTTGCTCGCCCTTCTGCAGCACAGTCACATCAGCAACGTCGATTTACACGGGGCAGGTCAACAGCTCTCTCCCTATCACTTGCATCAACGGAGCGTGCGCTACCAACGCTAGCGACACCATCTACTATGGCTCCTGCGTTTGCGATCGTTACTGGTTCGGGTCGAGTTGCAACGTAGAGGCCAAACCCGCGTACACGTCTGGATTCGTTCCTCCCCAGAGAGACAAGGCGTCTACCTGGAACTCCAGCTTCTCGTCCATCTTCTTTCCTGCAGGCGCTGTCCCAGCTGGGGTCTCGCTGACCTTGGATATCTACACCTACGCGGAGCTGATCGCCATCGGAGCGATCCAGAGCCCTCCCGCGGGAGTCGCTCTCTTCTCAGAGCTGCTAGACTTCGGTCCATCAGGGACCAAGTTCAACTCGCCCATCACCATGACGATCAAACTCTCCGGAGAGCCACCTGGAGGAGTCGTGAACATTGCCTTCTTCGACCAAAGTACACAGCAGTGGGAGGCTCTAGTGTCAACCTACGACGCTGCCAGCATGACTGTCAGCGCTCAGGTCGATCATTTCACCGTGTTTGCCGGGTCAAATCAGTCAGTGACTGTTACAACTACCACCACGACAACGGCGGCACCAACCACACCAGCCACCACCTCATCTCCGGGCTCCCCCCCCTCCTCCTCACCAGGACCTTCACCGTCGTCTCCCTCTCCCCCAGGCCCCTCCCCTCCCCCAGGCCCATCACCCCCCACCTCCTCCACTTCCCCTGGTCCTTCTTCAAGTCCTACTTCCTCACCTGCCGGCGGCACCACCACGACCAGCAGCAGCAGCAGCAGCAGCAGCAGCAGCAGCCCAACCGCTGCTGCTCCTGGGCCATCAACAACCGCGGCTCCCAGCCCACCAGGTGCGGTCAGCGGCGGGGGAGGAACACCCATTGGCGCCATCGTGGGAGGTGCCGTTGGTGGTGTCGTGGTCCTGGCGGCCGTCGTCGGCTACTTCCTCTACCAACGCAGGGCACGAGAGACCATCCCTGTGGTCCCTGTAGTGAGCGCGTCCACGGTGATGGTACCGCTGCTGTCAGAGGAGGGCGAGGACGGAATCGCTACCGGAGAGAATGCCACAGAGGAGAGCGGGACAGGACAAGAGCGAGAAGGGTCGCGAGCTTCTACCGACGCCAACGCTGCTCGATCCAACATCGAGTCGAGCCAGCAGCCGGCAGAAGGAAGTGTCAAAGGCACCGCTGCTTCCTTGGAGGCCCCAGCTGAAGACCAAGAAGCACACGAGCAATCCAGTGCTGAGCCTAGTAACGCTCTAGCTGAAGGTTCCGAATCCAAGGAACTGCAGAGGGAGGTGCAGCAATGGTCAGGAGAGCAGTCAGCTGGGAGCCGAGAAGAAGGAGCTCCTTTAGACACGTCGGTAGAGCACACTATGCAAAGTGAGATCTCGAGCCATGGCTGGAGAAGCCCCGAGAGCGATACAGCAGCAGGAGCAGGAGCAGGAGCAGGAGCAGGAGCAGGAGCAGGAGCAGGAGCAGGAGCAGGAGCAGGAGCAGGAGCAGGAGCAGGAGCAGGAGCAGGAGCAGGAGCAGGAGCAGGAGCAGGAGCAGGAGCAGGAGCAGGAGCAGGAGCAGGAGCAGGAGCAGGAGCAGGAGCAGGAGCAGGAGCAGGAGGAGCAGGAGCAGGAGCAGGAGCAGGAGCAGGAGCAGGAGCAGGAGGAGCAGAAGGAGATTCCAGCGGTCCAGCTGATAGAACTCAGAGTGGTACAGCAGCTCAAGACCCCATCGCCTCCATCGACCTCTCCATCAATGAGCAGGCAAACCACTGAGCAGAATGTCACTATGACATCTGATGTTCAATAAGTATGATGTCAGCCTAGTGTGTGTGAACATGATGACCTTACAACTTGTATAACCTTTAGAGTACACTACGATGCTTCTGATTCGGTCAGCCCTCCTTTCAAACTCTCACTATCCATCCGAGTACTCACTTGAAGGTCCCAGCATATCCAAAAGTTGTTTTCTTGTTTGCTACTCAACTCGCGAGATTTCACTCAACTTTGAGTAAAGTTTACTCAGCAACTCCGAGCCGTCTCAGTGGTACTTTTCTTTCCCAAGTTGACTGAGCCGGGGCGCCGGGCCCGTCGGCAGCGCCCCAGCCCGTCTCAGAGCAGCAGATGCTCCAGCTCCAGCTCCCCGTCGCCGCGAGTCGCCATCGTGACCGCCCTTACTACCTCCCTCATCGCCCACGTCACTCCCTCCCTCACGGCGTTCTGCTGCTGCTGCTCGTGCTGCTTGTGCCTTCTAAGCAGCTTGCTCTCAAGCTCCGAGTCGCCGCGAGTCGCCATG